TGGCCGCATGTTTCAACTTAACCTGAAGGTGTCTATGCTTCTGGTGAGATATTTTCATCTTGACACAATTGTTGTCGTGTCTCTGTCCAACACAGAACAAGATGACAGTTGTCCCAGACTGGAATATTCCACGAGTAACCAGTTCCGTGCCATGTTCAAATGCCACGCCTACTCTGGCTCAGGGATAAGGAGTATATGTACAGTCAAAATCCTGAATACAAGTAGAAGGCGGCGTTTCTCAAAAGGGAAACAAACCTGAATGCTGAAAATCTTGAAAATAGCCCTGCTAAATACTGTAGAACTGCTACTTCATCTAACGCAGATCAAATGAGGCGAACTTTTCAGAACAACGCGTTCCTTTGCCCGGAATCCGTACAAAGATGGCAACAGCTTTTGTCGAAAATGGCAAAAGCCACCGGCAAAGGATCCCTTGTTGAGTACAGGAACAATGGCGAAAATTGTGGTAAGTGCTATGGACCCGCGGTATAGAATCCTCGGCAAGGCCCCATCGAAGGGTCTCAGTTGGTCAGTGGGAAAGGGGTAGTATCTGGCCTGGAAACAGGTTCTTGTAACCCTCCTCCCACCCGAACAAGGTTTAGAATCTGGTCTGGAAGCAAGTTTTCCAAGCCCCCTCCCGAACAAGTTTTTTCCTCCTAGACCCCTAGTTGCTAGAGAAAACTGGAAATTTGGAAATTAGGTAAGCGATCGGAGTATTTGGTAACATCGGAGGTAGGATGGGAAATGGGGGTCGCACCCGAAGAGAAAGTTCGGGGTTGGGGTCGTTGACGCCATTTTTATCATCCCAGTGCTATACCTTGGACCAGAGAATGTCACTCTCTCGCCAACTTACTGCTTTGCTACATTCGATTCTTTCAGGTGCCCAGACGCCAGGAAGTAATGTTTATCTAACGATATTTTCCTATTTAATTATGTTACTTACAGCTCTTACTTCTCGATGCTGACTTCTACTTTAATTTCAAATTGCTTCTAGGCTTCCTATTGATTGCTACAATGGTCATAGGCTGTGCTATACTGTTTGCTGCAATGTCTATGATGTAAGCTTCCCCTTGCTAAGGACTGGTTCTGCCGAAAATGCGGAAATGGGTTATTACTAACTAAAACTCGACGTTCCATATCTCATTGCATATTACCGCATTCCTATAGGAGTTTTTGGACCCATAACTAGATCATTCAATGGTTAGAGCCAGTTCCTATAAACGACCCCATATGGGGGCTCACACAACCGGAATCCATAGAGAACAGAACATAACCCAACTGAATGGGCTAAATGCTCTCATAGTAGTTCACATTGTGCTTTCATAGAAGCGATTAGCATCGAACCACGATAGGTATCGCAAACTCTTCCTTCAAAGGCACGTTCCGCGATAAAAAGCGTGGGTGGTGACGGTGAAATGTGGGAGGGGAGTTGCTGAGTGACTCGTCCCTGAGGGGAAAATGCCAAAGAGAACGTCGGAAACACCTCCAATATGACCCCTCCAGCCTCAAAGAATCGCACGGGTGAAATGCAGAAAAACCGCTTGTTGAGGCGACTCCAATTTCACTTGATCTGCTTGTATTAACTCTGTAACACCACGACCGAAATGTAGCATCCATTTCAGTGTATCTTGTCCCATATGCATTCGCTCCTTTTGGCTGGATGGCGGGAGTCTGAAGGCGAAGTGACTGGAAAAAGGGAGGTACCACTGGAGCGATTCTGCCGCATAATTCCTACACCTTACAACTTTCGGCCGTAAAATTGTCACAAGGTTGTGCAGCGTTCACCTACCCTACTATGGTAGATGGCGGCCGCCGCTGTTGCCCTGCATTGGGTAGCCCCGGTGAGCGTGACGTGCAGGCTCGAGGCTTTCCTCTTATAAATACGCAGTGTAGCGATAACTTTCGAAACACCTACGTGGAGTTTGGAGCTGTTGTCTTGAACAAACAAATTCTACCCTTTTTATTCTGCCTGGAAATGAGAGCAAAGGCTCAAACTGTCTCGAAGTGCGACCCAACTTACCTTTTTCTTTTTATATTTTTAGTATTAGGAATTGGATTCTCTGTCAGCAGTTTGAGAATAAGCGTCGAACCTCTTGCCTTCGTTGTTCTAATGGTGGACATTTCAGCAATGCTAAAGTTAGGAAGTGATCTGCATTCACTGCTACTTTATCTTTATTCATCAATCCAAAAATTCTACTTTTAAATGGAAATAAAATTTTCTTGAAGCTTTCTGTTGCAGTTTCTAGTAGTGCCACAATACAAATAATAGACGCCTTGAATTCACAGTCTGCTATGATCGGATGAGCGTATTCAGGCCGACCAAGTGGAAAGAAGAGGCGTCGCAGTGAAGTAGGCGCACTACGGGCTCCTAATCTGCCTATACAGGCAATCGGGACTTACCTTTCAATTGCTGGTAGCGTGGTGAAGGTTCGGACGCCTGTCTATTGCAAGCGTCATCCGTATGCCTTGCCGATATGTACAGTCGTCTTCAAAAAATAGAAAATAGTGAAAATTAGGGAGAAAATGGCTAAACCAGGCTGGAAACAGCTGATCGCCTGCGGTCGTGACGCGCCGCAGCCGCGTCGCGACCTTGCCCCCCTAATCAAGTGCCCGGATGACGACTGTACGCTCCATTGATGGTGCCTATAGAAATTCCACTCAAACCGTCAGCGCGACTACAGCGAAAATAGGATGTCCCCGTTGCTTGCACAGGCGGAGTCGGGCCTGTAAGCGCAGTGCAGCAGCCAGCAATCCGTGTCCCGACATTAATTCCAGCAGCTTCTAGCCTCAAATGGAAGACCTCGCTTCACTTTTTGCCTATCGTCTCAAACCTTTTCGGCAAAACTTTACTATTGGGGTTATTAAGCACCGTCACTGATATGACGTTCGTTTTCGATCTCACCGTTATTTGACGCAAATGGGCGTCCAACTTTGCTCCATCACCGTCTTCACCTCGAGTGATGTCATGTGGCACCAGCGTCAAAAATAAAAGTCATATTGGTGACCAGGGTACTGAATGACCCCCCCCGGGGGTCGAGTGGATAGAGCGTACAATCGTTGGTCTTTACGGGAATCCTTCTGTCTCACTCGTGCTCTTCATTTTGAGTTGCCGGCGCGACAAAAGTGCTATTTGTAATGGTTGATCGGTGATGCATACATCTCCCCCGCTCGACTGCGGAGTTTCGGGTAAAATAACTAAGGGCTACGCTGAGCGTGCCAGGAGGGTTCTGCTTGACGCGGCGCCAGCCAGTTCTCCAGCAACTGTGGTCGCCTGTCAGCTTTCAGAATCGGTGGAGAACAGGCTAGTGCCACACCAACCCAGCCTCCTCCCCCCTTCTCCACGATACACCCATCATCCGCAGCGAACAAAACCTAGTATGTGAGAGGAGATCCTACGCAAGTGAACAGGGGACGGAAATAACACCCCCATCTCAATACTGGCATTCTGTTTCCATATGAGCATAGAGAGAGCTTGAAAACCACGAGGGCCACTTGCAAATTTTACGGTAAAAATAAACTCTATAATTACCGACCACGTCAGAAAAAAAATTTTTCTTGGAGATCGAGCTAAGCTACACTTAATATACCGTTTCCGGGTTCGCAAACCAGCGGTTCTCACCTGCGACGTTTCCATTCATGGTTGTTTCCGGCCTAAATCGATCTCCTACGCCGATCGCGATTGGTAGAGCTGGCAACAGAAGCCGAGCGCGGAGTTAGAACCGCGCCTGCGCTCAGCCGCCCTTCCACCAGTCCGCATGTGATGGCGGCTGTATTTGTTTCATGATTTAGACTGTGAAAAATAACAGTCAGAACACTTCGTGCTCCCCCATCCTCTTTCGGACCCTCTCTGGAGATTCCCCAGCGCAAGACAGCTATGTAATAACTTCAAACAGCTCCAACGGCAAGCAACTTCACACCCCAGACATCGCCGCCCCTTCTGCCGCACGGCGCGCCGCGCACGACGGTTGCGGCGTTTTGCGATCCTCCTGCACATCTTTTGCTTAAACAAACTTGGTGTCCCAACACTCTAAGCACTACATTTATTTCTTCCTACATTTCATACATACGATATCCAACCCTAAACAAATCAGCTGTGTGAGTATAATCGACTACACAACGCGCATATGTACCAGATCTCTTAACGAGAGTATATTATGAGAAATTCCACTTGAACGCAAAAACGATACACACGCAATGTAAGAATCCAATCGCCGATCAACTGTCGCTAGACAATTCACAAGACAGTCAATCCCCTACTATGTATACATTTTTATACAATTCTAAAAGAAGACTCTGCACACTATGATACACAAGAGGAATCTATTCTGCTCACTTGAGATGAGCACAAGAGAAACATTTTCCGAGATACTGAGAAAAGACTAGTTTTACTAAGGAGAAAAAAGCAGAAAAAAAACATATCTTATTCACTAATACTGACAAGATTCCCTTCTAGACACAGTTCGCTTCTGCTAGGTAGTGCGTTTGCGACTGCAAAATGAAAGAGGCGGGCTCGACCTTAGCGGAAGACCCCTGGCGACCTTACAACTCAGTTTTGAGTCGCGAAAGTGGCGCAGTAACTGATTGTGAACCAGGCTACTACCTCCGAGGAGGGATTCCACCTCCCAGATAATCGCGGACTGTGTCCTTTAAGGCTGCTTCTAAGGATAGGTATTAAAGTACATTCATCTATCGAAGCTAGTAGAAGCAAAATACACAAAGCCTAGCATAAATAGCACGCTGTCTCATTAACTACAACACAACAAAATCAAGCTTTTGATAACGTATGAGAACTATAGCAAGAAATCACCGGTAAGCTTTTCCCTACAACAGTTGGCACTTCACAAAATTATCAGTATTCATATTTAGTCTTCAATGACCTCCATCACTTCACCCATTCCTTTGGTTTTTCCCTGACGAAATATCAATGGCGTACCAGCTCGTATATATTCTGGACCACCCATGAGCTGGAACAAGACCGTGGCCCATTTTCCTTGTTCCAGAGAAGGTCCATCAATGTCCACTATGGCTGCCGTTTGACGAACTGATCCAATGTAAACTGAAAAATGCGAGGTAAAAAATTCGGTTATGCAAATAAAAGGTCCTGATGGCACAGTCCAAATTTAGCTGAAACTACGCGCGCGACGAGGACGCCAAGGCTTATAATTTGACTGTCCGCGCCCCCTCACAAACAAGCTGTACACTAACTTCCGAGGGCGGCGCCTACAATGTGCAAGGCGAATGGATCCTGCGTAGTGTGCCACTTTATCCGCCCAGAGTACTGGGAACGGAGCTGGAGGGTCGTGACACGCTACTGCAGCTGCGGGCCCATTCAAATTGCACATGGCAAGGATCAGGATCCACGGAGGTGGGTGGACAGCTTGTCTCTAAGACAGTAAAGGTCCACTAAAAGTGATACTTTTAGAGAAGACATTCTGGCTGTCTATGTGTTCTCCCACAGTCTGGTCTTTCGTCTGAACGCTCAGTGTTTTCTAACCGCTCATATGTCAACTTGCTCAAG